CTTGGCTCACACCGAACAGTAAGCTATATAAAGGGCCCCAAAAATTACTAGTGTAAAACCATTCAAACGGGAAAACTAACGGTCTAATCTATATAAAAAAAAACTGTTATAGTAGTCTCAGCCGAAAACAATACGAAATTGATAAGCAAGTATGACAAACCAATCAAAAAATTTGTTGTTTGGGATTATTCATGGTTGACTAGTTCTATATTAACCAGTGGCACGTGTCCTAATTATTAAGAAAAGGGACAGAAAAGTATTAAACAGAAATAACCGGTTTTTCAAAACCATATTTTCAAAATTTACTGCATGATTTAAACAGCTTAAAAGTGTTTCATTTATTTTATCTGTGAGCGTATACGAAAAATTGATAGCAAGTTAAACTTCAATGTACATGAATTACGAGTATTAGATTTCTTGTGAAATTGATCGATGAGCGGCTTTTTAAAAATACCAAAATAAAAGAATACTGCGTAAACGTCAAATAATGGACAAGCAACCCAACGAAAAAAATAAAATTTAAGAGGCATCTATGACTAGTTTTGAGTTGGAGAAATCATTCAATGCCATATGATTCTATTTAGGTTTCTGCGTTTTTCGATTTACGAATAAGTCAATTAGAAAAAAAATAAGTAATTGAAGCCAAAAAAGAAGACACAAAAGATACATGAAATAAAGTAATAACATAAGTTTACAAATACGTACCTAGGTGCATTTAATAAAGCAACATTTGAACTTATTATAGAAAAAGGAGAAATTAAATGGAAACATAATGCGCGCTGTTAAATCATGCTTTGCAAGGCTGTTTAGAGATGACTCGTGCATAATCATTTTGAATGGTGAATAAGATCACATACATGCATTAAGCACTCAGAAACTAGCCCGTAAATAGCTAGGAGGAGGGAATCCAGTTATTAGTTAAACATCAAAACGGTGTGCAGAAATACCGCAAAGGACTTCTTAGTGCACTAAGACTAACGTGTTTGCACTAAGGACACTAAAACGATGTTTTAAGACCACAAAGAACATGGATAAAAGAAGATATGAGTATATAACTCAAAAATATAAAGTTTGGTGTGAATAGATTTTGTTATTTTGAAGTTAAATGACTTTGTAATCAGCGCGTGCCACTGGTACAAATCCAGGATAGTTTAAGAAAGTTTTTAAAAAATTTAAAACTTTTAACCACAGAGTGAAAATAATGTTAGCTGGCAGAAAACTCCATTTATAAATAAAATACGATTTATTCTACAAAATTTACTTCTGGATACTATTTTGTGATCATAAACAAGCTTCTATCCAAGTTTGGTAGAAATCCGGGATATTTTCAGAAAGTTATTTAAATTTGCAAAAACTTTAACCACAGAATGAATGTAATGTTAACCGAGAGAAAAAAAGTCCATTTATACATGTAAGTAAAACACAGATAACCAGGATTTTTTTTCCAAACTTTACTTATGGATACTATCTTATGATCATAAACATTCTTCTGTTGATAGAAATCCTGGATAGTTTAAGAAAGTAATTAAAATTTCAAAAACTTTAACCACAGAGTGAGTATGTGGATGTCGCTAGCCGACGCCGACGACGGAATGTAGGATCGCTGTACGTCTGGCTTTTGCAACAAAAGTCGCAGGCTCGACAAAAATGTAATAAACTGTTATACTTTGAACAGTCATGTGTATCTAATGTGCTGGTAAACAAGTATATACATTCTAAAATATTTTGTAATAAAAAAATACTAGAGAACTATAAAAAAGTGAAGTTTACAAACAACCAAGAGAAATTAAAAGGAAAAAAAAATATAGTAGAACATACATTATTACATTGAACTAAAAAATATAACAGTCAGAAAAACAAAAGAAATACGACAGTAACAAACAGACGAAAAAAATCAGAGACAATTGAAATATCATAAACATGTTAATTTAAAATACAAGCGGATTCAAAACGGGTCAAGGTTGAACGAACATGAATTGCTATCGATTACACAGGTGACAATCAACAGAGGGTGGCGCGTGTCGATAAAAAATTAAATAAATTTATAATTACCGGGTACTAAAGATATGATTATAAAATTTGAAATTATATTCCTTCTATGTGCCATGTTTTTTGTGTCAATTCTATCATTCCATCAGGACTGGTCCTTAGTGCAATATTTTGTTCTTAGTGAACAAGTAGAAATACCGCAAAAGGCCTCCTTAGTGCACTAAGAACAACAATTTGCAAATAAGTCTATAACATTTGCGCAATTACATGCTTGTTTTATTGGCGCAAATGAATGCTGCAGTTTTTAAAATAAAGTGATACGAAAAAAGAATTAGCGTAATTAATTTGCGGCGCAAATTAATTCTTTTTCAGCGAAATTGGATATCAAAACACCGTGTGTATACTAACAAAACAGTATTCATCTTTTACGCTGTCTAGCCTGAGAATAAAAGTTTTGGCAATTTGTGTAGGATTTTAATTTTAGAATGTAATGAACAAGTAAGAAGATCGTTAAAAACCTTAAGTGATTTGGAAAATGAGCTATGCACGATAAAAGGAAATAGTTTATGTTCGTCGATATGAAATTTCATAGAGGCATGTGATATTTGTAAAATTTTAAGTCTTTCAATAACAACCATTTGTGGAAGTGGTTATTTCGATCCTTCAAATATGCGTAAAATAATTAAAATTTATATTATTTAGTCTCTTTCATATATACAAAAAAAAAAAAAAAAAAGTAAAATCACAAAAATACTGAACTCCGAGGAAAATTCAATCGGAAAGTCCCTAATCACATGGCAAAATCAAATGACAAAACACATCAAACGAATGGACAACAACTGTCATGTCAGTATGTTTATAAATACTGTAGATTTGTATTTGATCATCGATTGCATGCATAACGTCCAGTGACAAATATTTCATGTATTCGTACACAGAACAAATCAACAACTTTTAGAATACAATTGATTGGTTATTTAAGGTAAATGATTTGCGTTAAAATTGGTGAAACTTGGCCAGGAGCTTACCTCTAAAATAAAGAAATATAAAAAACGGTAGAGTTATTTTTTTAATTCTGTATTTTACTCATACATGGACTTAAGCACTGTTTACAGTCAAAATAACAGTTTTAACACCGACAGCAGGAATCACAAGCGACGCTGGTTCCATAGAAGTCTTCAACGAATTTTTATATATCCCTGGCAATTTTCGGTTTATATCAGACTGTGACATTGAGGGGAACAAATACCATGGATGTCTTGTCTTTTCTTTAAATACATTTAAATATAAAACGTGTATCTCATATAAAGCCTCATTTATAGAACATTATATATAATTTATTGTTTCAAGGAAATATTTGGCGGAGGAGAGAGAGAGAAAGAGAGAGACTTATTTAGCGGTATTTCAAATTGGTCTCATGTTATTCATGTCAAAATGTGGTGTAAGGAAATGTTTCCCCTTTGTTTTATATAGCAGGGTATTCTATAATGATATTAGTTGCAAATTTTTTTTCTATCGGTAAGATATGGTTTACAGTTCGAAATCTACGTTAAGTTAAAGTACATTTAAAGTAACGTTTCTCAATCAAGATAAAACGTTTACAACCAATACTATTTTTACGACTAAATATGTTTTATGTAAATAAATAGTTCACGTTTCAATTAACTAAGGGTATTGTATAGGTTAGTTTTTTTTTAACATTTTATAAGATCGAATTTGAAATGATTCAAAATTACAAAAAGACATCAAGAACTACGCAGTTAGTATGAAACAAAATATATAATAAATAAGATAACTTATTTGCTTTAATTAACAAGTGAAATGTTTCCAATCCAATCTTTCCAATCTAATATAGTCCAAAGGGTGACAAAAGGATATAAATATGGTCACTAAAGGTTTTCTTACGGCTGGCAGTAAAAAAAACTTGCCAAAGTGGGGGCATCCGTTTGGTTGTTTGGGATATACAAGTACGCAACCAACTTTCAATCAATCCAAACTAATAATTGTTTTTTTTTTATCCCGCATCTTTTTATATTAATTTATTTTAACTCAAAATAATAATTGAAATAACTTTCTGAAATAAAACCCTAACATATATCAGACGCTTAACAAAACGATATACCATACGATAGATGAAACGCTTAACGATATCATATACCATACGATAAGCGAAACGCTAAACGCTAAACCATACCATGTACCATACGACAAATAAAACGCTTAACGATACCATGAACCATACGATATACAAAACCCTAAACGATGACATTTACCATACGATGAACGAACGATGAACGAACGCTGACCGAACGTTGTACGGACGCTATACGAATGATGTACGAACGATGACCGAACTCTATACGAACGATTCCCGAACGCTGTACGTACGATTCCCGAATGAAAAAAGTGTTAACTTTTACGTTACAGGGACTGTAACGACAATTATGTTTTTTACATTGCTGCTGAAAATGAGAAAGCAGAACTGTAAATAGCAAAATAAAAGTTGGCATTATAATATGCACCCCTTTCCTAATGTACTTTAGGTTTGACAAAAAAGAAGTTAACGTTATGTATCAAAAGAAAAATGATGTTAAAGTATACTAATATTCTGTTCTATATGCAAATGAGAAAATGTGATATGATTGCAGTAAGACAACCAAGTTATGGTGTGTTTCTTTGTTTGTTGGTGTTTAACGCCACGTTTAGAGAAGTTGGCAACATCATGGCTTTCAGTTTTATTTCGTGCAGGAAGCTGGAATAAACAGAAAAACATTCAACCTTCGACTGGGAAACTGGCCATATTTGTCAATTTAGACGAAAGTCGAAAACAACTCACCATGAACATGTTTCATGTACAAACGTTATTAACTTAATGAATATTTACAGTTTCAAGAGAAATGAACTATAAACAAAGTTCTTTAAATCTATAAACTAACTTCTCTAATCGTTAAATGATGGCTTTGTATACCTTCGTATGATTACATTAGTATTACAATTCTTTTTTCTTTTAGCACGGGTACACTCCTTTACACTCAGCTGTTAGTGGTAAACAACTAAACATAGTCCAGTTGTTATTAGAGAGAACAGATATAGATCCAAATAAAGACAATCAGGTAAGGAAGGTAGTTTTTAACAAGACTGTCAAACTTGGTTAACTCAGCTCTGACAAACATCAAATTCAATGTCAACGCAATGTTGCTCATTAATTTGTTTACACACCTTCGCATGATACTGAAAGACCTATCTAGTCCTACGTATTTATCAATAGATTTTCGCGAACCTACTTTCGTTGATTGAAAAACTCAAAAGATGTATTATTTTCAGTAAAGGGAACTCGATTTGTTGGCTTAAATTGACTTGTGCATGACGCCCATGCGTGTCCTTTTCATAAACGGCTGAACAATTTCATATTTTAAAAAAACCCAAACGTGTGATTCGTTATCACAAATGTTGTTAAAAAGAAACCAAATCGACATTGACACAGGGACCGTAGACCAATTAACAAGTACTACAATGTGTTAGATTTTATTTTTTGGGCTAAACTTTCTACATTAGTCAAGCATTTCTATGACTGAAATTAAATTCTCACTGCGTCTGGATTCTTAGTAGAAATACAATTGTATGCATTTTCTTTTATCGTTTCTATGACTCTTCTGATATATCTGCAATTTGAAGAAATCTTCATTTTTGATATTGTTCTTGTAACTCAGTATTTCTGCATTGATGTCAGCGGTTAATGGTTTTCATTTTTTTTGTTTTTTGTTTTAACTTTAACAAAAACCCGAGGCTTTCAATCGAGTCAGTTCCATGCCGTAGACATTATTGACATCACAGAGAACATATTAAAACTTTTGAGATGTTCTAGTCCTTGTCAGTAGTTGTGTTATGTCATGCCATATCAAATAATTTAATTTATTTGTTTTACTTATTCGGGGAATTGGGTTTTAATGGCAGATCTTTGATTGTTTCTGTTAAAGGTATTCATATAAACTTTGATAGACTCTGGGGGATTTGGAGCCTTATATTATTCGGACAACATTTTATTTTATTCATATTTACAAGTAAGCAAAACATGCAGGTGAATGGGAATATATCATGTACACATGTGTATATTGCACAAATCAACTGACAATTAGCCTCATAAGCTTGTGCAATATACAATTATAAATAAATCGAGTATGTTTTGTTTACTTTTTCATTGTGTGTATTTAGTTTTGGTTTTGTGTCATGAATTGATACATCGTATTCTTTCATTTCTATCTTTTATTCAACTCAATCATTTTTGTCTCTATATTATGTATACATCCATCAATATTTAGATAATAATGCAAAGCCTCAAATGTATTGTTTTCTTTATTGATCATGATTGCATTTATGTTGATAGGACTTTAAAAAAAGGTTTAAGTTCAAGCATCACATAAATTATCCTGAATGATCAATAATCTATGTAAATGATGGCAAGGTCATCTGTGTTAATTTCACATTCATTGGGCAACAAACCGGTTTATTTAGTTGAATAATAATATATATGAATAATACAAAACATATTTTACATTATGACGTTTTAAAATGTTTGTATCAAAGTAGAAAATCACACGGACGTATCCTTATTTTTCAATACATTTCTGAATATATATGTAAAGATATGACAGTAATCGATAATAGTCGTTTTGTTTTGTGTTTGATTGCAATTCAGATGTTAAATTGTATATCAAAAACAAATATGAAAAGAAAAATACATCATATTGTACACAACCGGGAAAACAGAAAACTAAAAACGTCACACATTTATTCATATTTACAAAACTGTTCTTGCAGTGTTCTCTTTTATTCAACGCAGATAATTATCTAAGACACCTAAGACGATATCATTTCATAAGAAATGTCTTTTCCGTCAACTTATTGTACCCGTTGTAGGGCTTTAACTTGAGGTTTTCTTCATTAAAAGATCAATCGACCATGACTAATAAGGCATACCCTTTAGAAACAGGGATCCCAAATAGAATGGAACAATAAACGGTATGCAAAAACGTCATTCACAGTTTCAAATATTTAAAGTGTATTAGCTTGATTGTCTCCTTTTAAAAAACAGACGGTATAAGGGTGGACAATTCAAACCTTTCCAAAACCTGAAAATGTTGGTTGCAATTGGGAATTTATATACAACATGTACAAAATCAGTAAATATCTTAATTACTTATAAGTGGCAGTTTTTGGGTTTTTACTAATTTTCGGCATCCGTCTACCAGTAGAAGAACTGAGTCTTTTAATATCTCACTTTACGATATGGGGTCGTCCTGAATATGGAATATATATTTGCCACGTTAAGGGGACAAGACATCAATCATCATTATTTAGTGACCTATATACTTTCTAGTCTTTAATAGAAAATTGTCTCAAAAAGACTTCCTCTTTTTAGATATGATTTTTTAAGTGGGAGTTTAAGTAGATTGAAAATTTTTAATTTGCTTTTAAATAGAAAGGGACAAGGATTTCTTTAATACACCGTATCGATATTTGTCCGCCATTACTGGACATCACCAAGGTTCCGGTTTAATTTTTACGTCATACTAGAAAATATCTGATGTCACAATGGAAAAGTGACTGCTGTATGACGTCAATAGTTCAAGTTGTGCAGATTCTTGGGTCAAGCGTCATCGATTCCAAATACTGATAAGGTCTATAGGGAATCATATATATACAAAATACAAACAATTGTAAATGAAAATTAAAAGAATCGATTTAGTTTTATCTGAAATAAAAAGGTTACTGATGGTTAAATAACAACTAGATGAATATAACATACAACTCATTATAAGGGTTACTTTGTTTCGGATTGCCAACAGTACACTTTCTAAAATAAAAATGTTGACGAGTTAAAGAGTTTTGAAAATTGGACTGATTTATTATCATGTGATTGCAAACCAGTAATGGATTAATAATTAAATCGTTTACAAACTTTCCATAACTTTTAGATTAGTTCTCCATTAGTAAGAAGATCTACAATGGCGTTTCATCTTGCATTTTATTTTGTGACCAAGGGTTATATTATATCATATCCTGGCAAACAAGAAGAAGGAGAGTAGAACCGACAAAATCGCCATTGACGGGCAATAAATCCTATATGGATGCGCATAACAATCTCAGTCATGTCGACAGATTTGCAGATTCCAGTTTCTCTTTACCTTTTATAGTTTTCACAAAAGCAGCAATTGATTAAACCGTCTGTAGGGTCAATCGTTTCAATGAGGATTCTGCTGACAATTTGGGGCCGTTTCACTTGTTTGTAGATCCTGTTTTGCGTACCATTTTTTTTATATATCTTTATTTCTCAATAAACCATTTACATTGGAATGGTACAGAGAACACATAATATTAATAACAAATCAACAAATCAACATAAATGAGAGAGATGTCAGCCCGGCTCGCACAACCCTTTATTAACAAATTAATAAATTTGCAGAGTTTCGAAAGTATCGATTTTCTTTTGCAGGTCATAAGATTACTAAATTTAAGTGTATTTGGACGTTTGGAAAATTTTTCTTGAATAAATAAATTTCGGATGTTGGCAAATTTCCTGCATGACATAATGTAATGAAATTCGTCACCAATTTCATTCAAGTCGCATAATTTGCAGATTCTTTTTTCACGTTGGATATTTTGCCATTTTCTTTATTCAATAGGTAGCTTATGATTTGTTGTCCTAAACTTGAAGAGTTCTACCACTTCGTAGGTTTCTAAAATATCAAAATAACTTTCGAATTCTGAAGTGTCTCCTCATCTATAACTGCCTTAGCAAACTACGCAAAAATGGGTATCAATCGTCAATGAAGGCGACTGACAATTTCAGCCACGTCACTTATTTTTAAATCTAGTTTTTACAATTTTTACTGTTTTAAAATTCTCTCTACCTATAACATTTTTATGATGATACCCTAAGATGCAATATTTATGATGTCGTTTTTGAAAGGCAAATCTCCCGTAGGTTGTCGACTTACGATTTTGTTAATATCGACTTATTTTCAGGACAGAGAAATACATAAATAAATAATACAATAGTACATTACAACATGTAAACCACAGAATAACAACGGACAACACCTCCCATGAATTTACGACAGTACACCAGTTCACCACAATATAATTATGAACTGTGGATATCAGGGACGAAGTGCGGGAATTTGCATTACTGCCAATCGAAACAATGTTATGCTGGAAAAGAGAAAATCAAACGGACTTGTATATATTTTTTCAAACTTTTTTTAATTCACATGTATATATAGGACGTTAACAATTAATATTTGTTTAGTTTTGTGTTTGATGACAATCCAGGTGTTGGACTGTATACTAATACATTCTTTGACCTTGACTTTGGTCATTTGTATGTATTGAATATTATTCATTAAGAAAGGCGATATCTATGATACAAATTTTATTTCAATTTACATTTACAAGTCTGAATTGATTTAATGCTCTTTTTGCATTCATTGTAAGACATTTTAAATGCTGGTATACCTATATACAAATGAATCAGACCTATTAACTTTTTAATTTCAGATCAATGGTGACACTCCTTTACACACAGCTGTAAGAGGTCAAAACCTCAGCATGGTCCAATTGTTATTAGAGAGAAGAGATATAGATCAAGAGAAAGTAAATAAGGTATACCATTCTTTGTTTCATTGTTTCAGTCAATCATTAAATGCAATGTCCACACACTGATCTAATTAAATTCTTTAAACTTTCCCCTTATTTTTAATCCTTCAAGGGGAATATGGAGCAATGAAGCAGACAATTATAATTCTGAAATACACATATCGTCTGTTCATTTACACTGAGACTGGAAAGGGTGCTTTTAAAGAACGGACATATGTTAGTTCTTCAATAATATACAAAAAACTCACTATGTTACTTGACAAGCTTCTTTTTTGATAAATTTTATAACATTCTGAAGCGTACAAAAAGTTTTTAAAAATATATGGTGTTATAGTTTGACGCCGCAACAGGAGATATGACGTCATGCCGATACATCTGCAAAAGATAAGATGAATAATACGCGGATTTTTTTAATTTAACACATTGAAAGTGTTGACCTTAAGAGAAATATGTCTAACAACTCGTGAAAGTTAGATATCGCTTATTTAATTTAAATAGTATAATACACCCGCCGTTTATTAATATATTGAAAATGAATAACTCGAGTTGTTATCAAGGAATATCAAATTCTCAGTTATGAAACCTATAATTAGCAGTGTTATGTTCTGTTTCTGACATAACGTTTAATGACTTCTAATATTTCGGGTGTTACGAAAAAAATAATAATTGCAGATACGACACTGACAACGTATGTGGTAACTTTACCCTATAACTTATATTAATGCTAGGTTCATTGAAACATTATTTATATTAACATATTCCAGCATATCTTGCACAAAAATATAAATGCAATTATGTACAATATAGTTCCGTCTAAAAGACTGTGAGTATTAGATTAATAAGCCGAAGTTCATTTTGGATAATACATATTGCAGTTTTAACACACTTGGGATTTTATGCAATTAGTATTCCACCGACATATCTGCTACGAAAACAAACGTCGATTAATTTGTCGGAATTTGAATTTTTACATTCTTCAGTTATTTAATATAAATGCAAAGTTTATACTACAGCTTTATCATAGATTGATGTACCGATAAAAAGGAGAGGATTGTGACTACGATAAGTGGAATACATTCGTGGACATATTTAACAAAGATACACATTAACGGTTAACATCGTGATAAATGTGATAGTATCCGTATAATTGGTAAATAGCACACCTTCAAAGCAGCAAATCTACAAATAAAATAAATGAAAGCTAAGCAAGCGAGTCACAAAGAACCATTGTATGCAACACTGATAGAATACAATAGACCTGCATTATGGTATCAACTTGGAGATATATGATCCATATGCTAGACACTAGATAAATTTATTCACATAATCGCAAAGTGAAATCATCAAGAGTAAAATTATATTGTCAAGAATTAAAGCACGTTATCTATGTAAATTATAATACAATTCAATAATCTTTGAGAATAGATCATAATTATTAGAACAAGTAATAGTTTATAATATTTAGCTCAAGTAATCTGAATCCACAAAAAATTGAGGAAACCCGAACAGCAACTTGAGCGGTACATGCAGGCTAGATTTTAAAAGAATTTTAGCTGCATTATTCACTTGCACCGAATTAATTATTCATGAAAAAAAAAAACTTCTTAGTTTTGACTAGTCCCTATCGATGTACGGAAGCGCCAGACACTAAAAGACATTTTAACAGACTTACTATCGTATTTTTCATAATATATGCATGTCGATATTTTTTGTAATATAAAACATATGTAAATAAAACATGAAAAAACGTTTTCATCTTTTGTTGTTTGCTGTATTAATATTTATTTGTGTTTTTGTTTTAGTGTTTTTGACAGTTGGTAGTGTAGTCTGTTTTTGTTGTTTTTATTTTTGTTTGTTTTTGTTGTTTTCATTTTTGTTTGTTTTGTTTGTTTTTTTAATTGGGGAGGGGCGGGGATTAAGGGCTGATATAATCATTCAAGTGAAACACGATAATCTATCTGCATTTTCATTAAAAAGGAATCCAATATAGATTCTAATCTTTTGACAAAGATGTACCAGAATCTCTCAAAATATTCAATTTCAATTTACTAAGTTCCCCGTCCCCTCCCAAGATGAAGAAAACACTAACTGAATAAATATGGAAACAATCTGGCCATTTTATTTATTTTCGCACAAATCAAAGCTCGTCCCTTACGGCCATCGCCTTCGTAAATATTTCTGTTTGAAACATATCTCTGCGTTTTTTTTTTCATTTTCCAGGAATAACCTGTACGCAAAATGTAATAACACATACATTTGGTCAATTGTGGCAGCTATTACATATATGTATACATCTGTACATACTTGTATATGCTTGTAGCAGTCGGCGAATTTGATTTTTTTTTTCATTTGCTATGAATTAAGGATAAAAAAAAAACTTCAATGGTTTGTCTTCAAAAATATCCGGGAGGTGATAAGGTCGAGGCGGGGGAGGGGTTCTATGTTTTTTATTAAGGGTTCTGGACCAGTACTCTTTTTAAAAATATTAATTTCAATCAATGTATTGTACTGCCGATATTGAACTTTTTAAGAAAGCATTCAGTATAATTGTAAACAACGCATTTACTGTGTAATCTGTTTGAATGAAATAAAACATAAAAAGAGTAAGAAAAACATTCACAAAAATTCGATATTCTCAACTTCAATTGTTTCGAATTGAAGCGAGGCCAACAATTGCATTTACTCAAAGTTCATAAGGTCCGTTTCCCTTCGTGATTGTATTTAATCATTTTTACTCCTTGTTTACATTGAAAAAAGACACCCCTTCTATACAAAGTCTAATCACAACGCCTGATGTTACATTGAAGTTCACACACACAAATGTACTATTTGATTTTGTTATGATTTCCATGCACCCAATTTTATGACAGGAAATATTGCACGTTTTTTTTAACTTGTTTTCACATGCGAGATAATAAAATAATTGTGCGTCGTGAACTAAGTTGATTCCATTGAAATTATAATCTTTAGTTTTGAAATTAGACTTATAATTCAGTTCTATTGTAAATTACTCCAAAATTAAAGCTGCTTGGAATGATTACATACTATAAACTGCATAAATGTGTCCATATATAAATAGATCAATGATTAACTTTTTAGTTGAATGGATAATGTGCTACGACATGTAACAACATGTTTGTATGCTATGTCGTTTGTTTCATTTCTTGAACCATGACACAATTAGATCTGTCGTAAAGAAGGTTGACCACTTACTCATGATACTGTATAAAACATACTGTAACATGTACATATAGCTTTTCAGTATTTAATTTTGGCATAGTTTTTGAAAACATTTTTGTGACTCAATACTTACAACTTATGAAAAAGAACTGATTTGATGCAATTAATACATTTGTAAAATATTTCAAATTTAAGGTGTTTTTGAATTGTTAAACTCATTTTCACAAAAAAAAAAAAAAAAAAAAAGAAATGTACAAATGTACTCGAAGTATATTTTATAATTTACACAATTAGTTAACGCGAAAATTAAACGCGCGTTTAATTTCAAGTTCACGAACAATTACACTTGTGAAATCTTTAGTAAACGCCTGTTTATTTTCAAGTGCACGTAAAAATAAACTTGTGAAATATGTAGTAAACGAACGTTTACTACTGACTAAACGGACACTTAGAAAACGCTCGTTAACTCGGGTAGAAATTAGAACTTCCGTTTTGACCGCGTTAACGTAATTTCAGTAAACGCGAAAATTAAAGTTAACAAACGAAATATGTGCACGCGGCGTTAAAGTGCGTATACCTTATGTAAACTGTAGAAGTCCGACTGTATAAGTCACTGATATGAAACAGTTACGATGTAAACGATTCAATGTAGCTTTTTGTTTTATTTTGCATTATTTGGATTGTGATAACGCTGTGTAGGCAAGCGTCAGTAATTTTAAAATGTTTATGTTTTTACCTTTCATTGTGATAGACTACACAAGTACAGTATTTATGTAGTTTATTGGTCCTTTGAAACTATTTTCTAACACGCTGTAAGTGAATAACTGATGTGTGTATCTTACCGGTTCAGAAGTTATGTCTGTTATATGAGAAATACGGAAACTTTTGTCTGCTATCGAATATCATGTGAGTTTTATTCCTTTGTATTCCTCTGTTTGTCAAATGACTTGCTGATTCCTGCAGTGTAGTTTACATGTAACAAATCAACGTTCACTCCTATGGCGGAAATCTTTTGTTCAAACGATCCATTATCTAAAATTCTGTTTAAATTATAATTAAAACAGTTATATACCAAACTGTGTTGTCCTCTTCATTTTCTGTCTGAATTTCTGTCCAGATAGTATCCAAGCGGGTAAACATAATTCAATAATGAAAAAAAAATATAACTCACTTCAAGATTTGATTTAAGATTTAATAATTTAGGAACTCATCTCCTTGTCATTTGTAAGAACGTATTTTTTTATATCGTATTGCGGTTTGCAAAAATTGACATTTGTTACATTTTTATACATACCAACACAAGGTACTCGGTGTGTGTACATGTAACAACAATAAGTGTAAATATTTTGTAGCGTTACTTGCTAGTTAATACAGTAATGTTGTTTGTAGAACAAATAGTTCAATAAACTGAAATGGTCGTAATGGAGTAATCGGTCTAATTTACCTGTTTGAATTGTTATACTAAGTTCTTATTTGGCTTGTTGATGGTTTTGTTCCAAAAGTCACTACAGAGTCATTTGTAGTCGAAAAATAAGGCTTACAAAAGGATAAGGCTTTTACGTGAGCTTTTTTTTTAAATACAGCAAGAATGGATAAACTTGAAAGGGTATGGATGATATTAAATACGGCTTCTGTTAAATATTGGGGCTAGTTCATATTTAATTTTCGAAGAAACCGCGTAACGTTATCGATTTCATTGACTGTTTTTTTGTTATATGCCTAGTGGTATATTTCGTCTCATCAAATGGTTTCAACGATAGAGTGTCATTTTTTTCAGAAATCACTAATAATTGAGCATATCATAATAATAAATCTAGACTACAAGG